CTCCTGGTGCACCCTGCGTGGCTTTCCCAGAGTGTCCGAGCAGGTCCCACATGTAGCTCAGTTCCCCGCATGCAAGCAAAAGTCTGATTCCGCCAAGAGGCCAGTGGTCAGGCCTTCAGAATGGACGTGCCTTGCCTCCAACCAGTCTGTAATTGTTCTTGTATTCTAAGTTCTTAATGAAAGTTGTATTAAGATTACTTTAGCCAAAACCAGTTTGGCTCAGTGGATAGAGCGTCAGCCTGAGGACTGAGAGGTCCCAAGTTCGATTCCGATCCAGGGCATGTACCTTGGTTGTGGGCACATCCCCAGTAGGAGGTGAGCAGGAGGCAGCTGATTGATATTTCTCTCTCATCGATGTTTCTACCTCTCTATCCCTCTTCCTTCTTCTCTGTGAAAAATCAATTTAAAAAAAATTTTTTTAAGTTTACTTTAGCTGGCCTGGCTCAGTGGATAGAGCGTCAGCCTGTGGACTGAAGGGTCCCAGGTTCAATTCTGGCCAAGGACACATGCCTGTCTTATGGGCTTGATCCCCAGTAGGGGATGCGCAGGAGGCAGCTGATCAATGATTCTCTCTCATCATTGATGTTTCTATCTCTCTCTCCTTCTCCCTTCCTCTCTGAAATCAATAAATATATATACTTTTTAAAAGATTATTTATTCCTGCATCTTCTCAATTGTTTCTCCCTTGTACTTTCCCTTTTCCTTTCCTCCTCGGCGAGATTTGGGTTTACGTTGAAGGATCTCTCTGCGGTCTTTGTCCGGCTTCAGTGATAGCCACAGTGCTGGGGGGACGCCCACGTGAACAGCTGGGCCGTTAGCCTTTTCCGCCGGACTCGCTAATATGATGGCCTATTTCTTCCTGTAAACATGCGCGACTCTGACAATCGGCTGCCCTCTAGAATGTCCTCGTGCAACCTGAATTTCATCATCCTTTCCGATGGGTATGGACGAACCCTGCACTTCTGTCTCAGCTCCGTGGAAAAGAGGAGAAAACACAGCCTTCCGCGAAGGTGGGGAGGAGCACTGCAGTGCCTTTTAGGGTTCTTGCTCCGGTCAGGAGCCGCTTGGCACTTCACTGCGACCACGGTGCTCTACGATGACCACGAACAGGAAGAGCCCGGTTTGTAATTTTAATCTTCTCCTGGCTCCAGGGTCCAGGGCGCCCCGGTCCCCTTTAACAAGACCTGCTCTGGGCACCGACACACGTTTCCTTGTCTGGCAAATTCATGTTATCCTCCCACCCCATCCCTGGCTCAGAGGAGTTGGTGTAGGAAGCGGTTGGATTCTTTTCAGAAGAGTCATTTTTTAAAAAATGCCAGTTAGACCCAAGAGAGAACAGGAGGAGGGTGCCTTCAGGGCTGAGTCAGCAGCCGCCCGCTGACCCACTTCCCCCGGCCCCCCACCCCCACCCCCCACACCCCTGCAGTCCAGGGCGCCACTGGGAGCAGATGCGGGAGCTGCTGGAAGAGGCCCTGCCTGGCCAGGCCCCGCTACAGGCAGCCCTCCTTCCACTGAGAGATTCACCCCAGCCTTTTTTTCCGTGCTCCCGCCTCCTGCCCTGTGCCTGCCTCCTTGGCGCTGCCCACTCTGCAGGGACATGGCAGAGCCTCCTCTTCCTCTTCATCACGGCTTTGCCCCTTCTTGCTGAGGATGACAAGCTGGCGTGGGACCAGGGACCAGAGCCCAGCAGCTGGCGTGTGGTCTCGGCTCAGCGCCTCTGGTCATCAGTGTGGCTCTCGTCACGCCTCACTCCGGCATTCTCCTTCGGTGCAGCTTTCTGGCAGGTAAAGGACATGCTCTTGTACAGGTACGGGCCCATGTGCAGGCGGGATGGTAGGAGCAGAATGCTACAGCCCATTTCGGGGGGGGGGGGGGGGGGGGAGAGGAGGCTGACTCAGCACTGCCTCTTCGGGGGTGGGGGGTTGTGTCTTTGCTGCTCCAGGAGCTCCTGCACCCCCATCCCCCCCAGCCCACGGCAGACACCAGCGGTTTATTCGTTTATTAGTTTTTATCTCCATTCTGGACCTTACGTGGGCTGTATGCCTGATGGACAAGCCAGGATCCGAATTGCAAGTCAAGGACGTGGGGGACACCCTCCGGCTAATGTCATGGGCACCGAAGGGTTGGCTCCTGGACCCTGACCCCCGGGCCAGGCAGGAGGAAGGAGCATAGATTTAGGCAGAACCTCATGCTGTGAAAGGGAAGGAGAGCAACAAGCAGAATAGCATCAACCCCACCAATGAGCAGAAATGAAAGCCTGGAACAGACTCCAAACGGGATGTGGGATCCCATCACATTCCCGCTGTCGTCCTTCTGCCTCCAGGGCATTCCCGGCCCAGAGCGGTTCGTTCGCCCTGGCAGAGCCTGAGCAGGCCACTCTGCCCCGCTCAGCCTCTCGCGTGGACTGCATCTGCTGGGGGAAGGGCTGGCAGAGCCTGAGCAGGCCACTCTGCCCCTTTCCATGCCCCCCTCGGGGCCTGCCACTCTGCCACCTCTCTGACCTCACACCCCAATACAGTCCCCTCCACCTTTCCCTCCTCCCCACCCCCAGCCACACTCGTCTCCTGCATGAGGATCCTTGGCATGAGGCTGTGCCCTTTGCTAGAAGGTTCTTTCCTCCCACATACACCTCTCCCACTGCTGCCCACACTCCACATTCTGTAGCCCCTTCTCTGCATGACTCTTCTCCTTGCACTAATTATTATCCCACCGCCTGCATCTCAGGTTAATTCGCCCACCTGTCCACCTCCCGGGAAACGCTGGCCCCTCCAGGCCGGGGGTTTGCTTTCTGTGCTCTTGCCCCGTGAGGGCCCCGCACCAGCACGCGGTAAGGACAGCGTGGTGGCTGCAAGAGTCACGGCCGCTCCGTCGGGGACGAGTCGGGGCCAGGACTGCCATGTCATTGATTGACTATCCGTACAGCAGCCCTATCAGTCAGATACCGAGGGGAGCAATTATTATTCTGCGTACAGAGTCAGCCAGCGGTGTGCGAGGCCTGTCCCAGGGGTGCCGCGTGCCCAGGCACAGACCCACACCCTCCAGTCCGCGGGCAGCAGGCTCTGGGGCACCACATGCTAGAAGGGGGTGACTTGAGGGGCTGGGTCGGGTGACAAAAGCACGTGGCGAATAAATAAGCCCCACGCTCACGAGTGAGCCATCTGTCTGGCGGTGAGATTCCCACGCCAGACAGCACACTAGCCCCACACATGAGTCGCCAGATTCGTCCCAACAGCATCAGAGCATTCAACAACAGAAAGTAACGTAATCATAGCTGTCACTCCAGGCTTTAGGGGACAGGGTACCACGATTGTGAGTCAGATGACTAACTGTAATCTCTCTCTCTCTCTCACACACACACACACACACACACTCACACTTCAGAGGCCTCCTGGCTGCCCCCTCTCCCTTGTAAAGCAAGTCCCATGGGGTGCCCAGGCTCTGAGCGATCCCCTCACTGCACCGGAGTGGAGGGCAAGGCCATTGTCAAAGCCTCACAGAGTGGCACTACCAGACGGTCTGTCCAGAGGCCAAGGAAGACAGTTCACCCGAAGATGGCGCCCACCCTGCCTTCCCCAGGGCTCCGGCCCGGCCATGCTGCCGGCGGCCCCGGAGCAGAAGTCTGCCAGGGGCTGTGCGCCAGCCGGGGCCGGGCGGCAGGAAGGAGAAGGCAGTGACCGTGGCCGTGGTCAGCCGCGCTTGGGCAGACCTGGAGGGAGAGTCCCCTGTGTGCACGGGCCATGCTCTCCGCCGTCGGCAAAGCCCAGATATTCAGCAAATGGAGGCAGCAGTCGGGGACTCACGCAGAAGGAAACGATCAGCGCGCTCACTCTCCAGCTGGGCGGGCACCCACTTCCCAAAGCAACGGGCGCTGAGACCACTGGCCCGCGGGCACCTCGTGCCCACCCGAGAGCCTGAGAGAACTGGGGAGCCCAGGGGCGGCGGCATGTGATCCGCAGGTCACATCTGCCTGAGATCCCTCCCTTCCCCTCCTGCTTGCTCCACGCTCCCTGGGACAGTCAGTGGACATGGGATGGGGCAGAAAAGGGCTTAGACCAGCAGATGGCCAGTGGCTGGGTAATCCTCGCTTTGGCTACATCAAGGACAGAAATAAAATGACCCTTTCAGCTCCCGGGGCAGGTAAAAGAGGCGGCCACTCCCAAGAATGTACAGAAAACTTAGGGGAAGGCTGTGCCTTGAAGGAGAACTTTCCTCGCTGCCGATCCAAACTGCACGGACAGGGAAGGGGTTTGGCCTGGGGACACTTTCCCAGCGCTAAGTGGCCTGGGTTTGGGCCATGACCACAAACAGCTTAGGGCCCTGTGCCCGCCAGGTGCTGGCTGGGGGTTGCCTGCCCGCCTGCAGAGGGCGCTGTGCGCAGCGGTCAGCCTGGGGAGGCGGCCGCCCTGCAGCCAGAGGGGGAGCCCCGCGCCAAGAGGGCACATGGAGATGGGCTGCCCGCTTGGCCCTGGCCCCAGGCGGCTGGAGTCCAGCGGAAGCGGAGAGCGTGCCTGGATGTGGGGAGGAAGGAGAGGGAGAGGGAGAAGGAGAGGGGCAGGGGGAGGGAGAGGGGGAGGGAAAGGGGGAGGGGGAGTGGAGGAAGGAGGAGGAGGAAGGAGGGGAGGTAGTGGAGAGGGATGAGAGGGAGAAGAGCAGGCAGAGAGAGAGGAAGGGGAAGGGGTAATAGGGAGGGGAGGGGGGAGGAGAGAGGGAGGGGGGAGGAGAGAGGGAAGGAGGCGGAGGGGGGAGGAGGTGGAGGGAGGAAGAGGAGGAAGATAGGAGGAGGCAGGAGGGAGGAGGCAGGAGGGAGGAGGCAGGAGGGAGGCGGCGGCCGGGGGGAGGAGCGCGGGCCGGCGGAGGCGGAGGGAGAGGAGCGGCGGCCGCGCTCCGGTTGGCCGGCCCCCGCGCCCTCGCCGCCCGCCCTGCGCCCGCCCTCCCCGCCTCCCGCGGCGCCGGCGTCGGGAAAGTACAGTAAAAAGTCCAAGTGCAGCCGCGGGCGCAGGATGGGATCCGGCTCCTCCAGCTACCGGCCCAAGGCCATCTACCTGGACATCGATGGCCGCATCCAGAAGGTAGCGCCCCCCGCCCCCGCCTCCCGCCTCCCCGCGCGGCCGCGGGCCCTCCCGGCGCGCGACCCCCGCCCGCCCCCCCCCCCCGGGCGGCCCTGCCCGCGGACCGCCCGGGCGCGGCGCCGGCGGCGGCTGGGGGACCCTGCGTCCGTGCCTCCGAGTGTCCGAGCGTCCAGGGGTCCGTGCGTCCGAGTGTCCGAGCGTCCGAGCGTCCAGGGGTCTCCGGCAACTTCGGCGGGGGCGGCAGGGCTCTCCGGTCAGCTTTCCCCATGAACTGGACCCCCGTGGGAGGGGGCGAGCCGGGTGTTTTTCCCATTTCGCGGGCAGAGCGTTCTTTGTACCAGAGCTGACCAGGCTGAGTTGTGCGTTCTCAGAGGCGGTACATTAACCCGCTTCGTTTCGGGTGGAGCGGCCCCCGGAGCCGCGGGGCGGGCGGACCTGGGACCGGTCCGTGCGTGGAGGTGCCGGTGCCATCCGCCCGCCGGGAGCAGTCCCTGCTTCCGCGGCCCCCTCCCCACTGCTCCCCCCTCTGGTCCGTGTCCCTGTGCCCACTTCCCCCCGGGGCTCCCCGTGACCTCAGAGGGGGTGGCAGGGCTGCCCCCTCTCCTGCGCCCAGCCGCCCCCCTCGGAGAGAGGAAGCCTCCAGAGGGGCAGCGCCCCTCACCCACGGAGCCCGGAGGAGAGGCATCCAGAGCAGACTTCGTGAGGGCCCCTCCTCTTCTAGCCCCTGGATGGGTCCAGAGAGCCCTGCCCCTGATTGGCCTCTGATTGGCAGAGGGGAACAATAAGTGAGCTGCTGGGAGGGGACGGGGAGTCTTAGCCCCACCTAGATTCCCGCCCCGGGGACATGCCCTAGGGAGGCCATCTTCCCACACCCCAGCCACATCCTCTCACCTCACCCTTGTTCAGGGCACCCCACCGGGAAACCACGGAGGATGCCCGCCGGGCACCTGCCTGCCCGGGCTCAGGGCTCTGGTTCTCAGACCACCTCCACCTGATAGACTTTCCAGCAGGCCACCTCGCTCTCACGCCTCCCCAGCTTGATCCCTGTGAAATGGTCACAAGCAGACACGGGACTAGACCCAAGTGCCCGGTGACTGCACGGGAATTTATAACGGCCTCCCCAGAGGAAGAAACGGCCCTCCGCTGAACAGCCCCCTGCTCCAGTGTGCCCACGCATCCACACGCAACACGGACGTGAAGACACGCATGCACACATAGACACACATGCCACATGCAAACATACACCAAAGCACATGCGCACGCACATAGGCACACGGGCAAACATGCACACACAGACACAAGCACACGCCTTTCCTGCCCCACCAAATAAAAGTTATCAAACGTCCGCGTTCTTTATCTTTTGAAAGAGGTGAGACAGGAGACACGGCCGCCAGGTCAGAAGCGACAGCTGCCTCCCGAGAACTTCCCCCAAAGCTCCCTGGGAAGCCTGGCGAAGTGGGTGCGAGTGGAGGAGGTTCCAGAGGTCAGGAGGCGAGCACCTGGCCTGGCAGGCTCCTCCGCTCCGGACTGTGGGGAGGATGGGTTTCCACAGGTGGCACGCCCAAGGTTGGGGTGACCTCCAGGAAGGCAGCACTGTGGGCAGCTCGGGGAGACCCGGGCACCTGCGTCCAAGAGGGAGGGAGGGCGTGGCCTTAGGAGGGGCCAGAGCTGGCGAGTGCTGGCGTGGCCACCACTTCTGTGATCTGGACGAGGCCCCAGGCTGCCCTGAGCCGGCTGGCCACCCACCCGTGAAGCGGGGCAGCATCTGCTGTATGGACGGTCGCGAGAAGTAAACAGATTCGTGTAAACCGCCGGACGCTGCCGGAACATGGTGGCGCGGGGCACGCTCTCCGTCCAGTGGATGTCCTTTCACGGATGCAGTGAGGAGGAGGAGGGCAGTGGTCTGGAAACCTCGGCCCTCCCTGCAGGGCCGGTTACTCATTCTTGACCTTGCCCGTGGCCTCTCCCCTCGCCGCGATCACTTTGGGAGGCTCGGGGCTGGACTTGGCTCTCAGCCAGGCCACTTGGGGTTTCCAAGCATGCGCTGGCCACTGGCCACCTTTCACCCCCTCCCCCATCCTTGAACTCCAGGCCAGCAGCTCTGTCCAGATTTCAGATGTCTCTCTCGGCTCAGGGCTCTTTCGGCAACGCTCGGGAGGCTGGGCTCTCTTAAAGCCCCAAGCGCAGGATTAGCTCTGAAGTTCCCCGGATGCTGTCTCCCGTTTGACCCATCCCGTCCTGTGTGTGAAAGGTCACGGACACAGGCCTTGTGTTGCTCCCAAGGAGAGGATGTGGAGGCAGGAGAGAGGACGTGTGTGACGTTGTCGCGTTTATATTGTGTTGCCCCGTCTGGTCATCTGCCCTTTGGCTCCTGCATTCCTCCCGTTCTCTGTCCCCTGAGTGACCCACGGCTGGCTGTTCCATGCTGTCCCCAGCAGTGGCCCCCGTGGGTGTTGTCTGCACCAGCAAAGCTGTGGATGGATGGCCGCAGTGTCTGAGGAGGGCCGGTCTCAGCATCTCCACTCCCATGCCTTGGCCCCGGGTTAGTCACTGACCCTCCATGCTGCTGTTTCTTGAGGTCACATGGGTACGCTTTTGTGCTGCTTGTTGGGAGAACCAAACAGGGCAAGGCCAATCACTCAGTCCATTAGCCAGATGAGTTTAGTGAGCAGCTACTATAATACATGCAGAGGGCTGGGGTCCGGGGTGAATGTGCCATTCATGACACTCAGTCTCACAGAGCAATGGCTGCCTCTATCCTATGCCAGCCAAGCATTGGACCTGGGCCCTGTGACAGACAGGGCACCCTGTGACAGACAGAAGGACACAGCAGGACCCGGCTGGTGGGAAGGGCTATGGTGCGGGCCTGGTGAGTAGATTTTCTTCCTCCGAGAGGACCGGCTTTGTGGGGAAGGGGTCCTTTTTGGACCCAGCAACCTTAAGAAGACCCTGGGACTGCCGAACATCAGGGGTGCGGCCTCACGCTGCCAGCCGCACCTCCACACGGTCCCCATCGCCTGCTCGGCCACTTGCCAAGGGGCACAGGTGACCCTGGCACCTCCCGGCACCAGGTGAAGGAGGAGGGATTGGGCTAGGGTTTGGTGAGAACGTTCTCTGGACAAGACTGACGGCCCCGGAGCTCTTGGGCCTGTTGAGTGGGGCCCCCAGTGCTGTGGGATCATGTGGCTCTCGGCAAACTGCGGCTCGAGAGCCACATGCGGCTCTTGGGCCCCTTGTGTGTGGCTCTTTCACAAAAATGCCATGGCCTGGGCAAGTCTGTTTTTGAAGAAGTGGTGTTAGAAGAAGTTTAAGTTTAAAAAATTTTGGCTCTCTTGCCGAAACCGGTTTGGCTCAGTGGATAGAGCGTCGGCCTGCAGACGGAAAGGTCCCAGGTTCGATTCCGGTCAAGGGCATGTACCTTGGTTGCAGGCACATCCCCAGTAGGGGGTGTGCAGGAGGCAGCTGATGGATGAATCTCTCTCATCGATGTTTCTCTCACTCCCTCTCTCTTCCTCTATGTAAAAAAAAATCAATAAAAAAAAATTTTTTTGGCCTCAAAATAAATTCCAATCATTGTGCTGTTGATATTTGGCGCTGCTGACTAATGAGTTTGCCGGCCCCCATGAGGGGCCTTGGGGACAGTCCCCTCGCCACGCTCTCTGCGGGGCCACCCTCAGCCACCCCGGCCGCTGTCCTTGTCCCGCCTTTGCCTGCAGCTGGCACGCAGGTCTTCGTGAACAAACAGCCACCTGCAAAGTTGTTTCTACTCTAAAACGGGAACCAAATGAGAAAAACTGAAAAGGACGAGCAGAGCTCAAACATTGTTAAAATGTCAACAGAAGACAGGTTCTAGTTCATAACAACCCCTCTCCCCTCCTCCCTCCCCCACCCCCCACGCCTTCCTCCCTCCCCCCCTCCGGCACACACACACACACACACACACACACACACACCTGTGCCTGCTCTCCCTGCCGGCTGGAGCCAAGCACCGTCTGCTCAGCCCGTGGGGCCTTCTCCCGGCCCGGCCCTCTTGCCACCTGGGACCCTGGATCATGCTGCCTGGATACCTCAGAAGCCAGCCTCCGTGGGACTGCAGGGCCCTGGCCCGCTGCGGCCGTCCTGCCTGCACGCGGAGCCCCGGCTCTGCACACCCCGCCGGCTGCCCGGGGTCTAGTAGGAGGAATTCTGCTCCCCACCGCCTGTCCCTCCCTGAGCCCCTGCCCTGCCCTGCGCCGGGTTCCTCTGCCTTTGTTTCTCGCCTTTGGCACAAACAGAGCCACCCCGTCTTCTACTGGTCGCAGGGCACACCAACCCGGTCTTGTCCAGCGTGCTCCCACGGTGGGACCTGGGGTCCCTCCCCACAAGCCCCAGCCCCTGCTGGAACGTGCCTGTCCTGCCACCTGGCACAGCCCAGGGGAAATCTCCTTTCACTTTAACACCTGCGCTCTGCCTGGCCCACCACTCAGCACCCTTTCCCGGGACCAGCAGGGTCCTTGCTGAGTTGAACCGGGCCAGGCAGACCCGGCAGACGTCTCTAGGTTCTGAGCACCTGTCTGTCACCTCCTTCACGCCAGGAAGACTCCCCTTGGCCATCGTCAGCAAAGTCCGTCTATCTTTCTTTGGGTGTTTATAGCTTGAGGTCTTTAAGAAGAATCTGAAATGGTAACGTAAGCTGATTGCAAGGGCGGGGGTGGGGGGGATACAGAAAGGGGTGATCCCACTGCCTTTTGGATTTCCAGTGTGTGACAGCAGTGGGGCCATGTGGATTCCCAGCCGACCCCAGCTTCCCATGACCCCTCTGTCAGGCTGGGCCGTGAGAACGAACCGCGCATGTCTCGGTTTCCCGTCTCCTTTTCAACAAGTTCATCAGCCCTGGAGGGAGCCGGCCCGACTGCCTGCGGCGCCACAGCAGGCGCTGTCCTGTCCGTAGAGAACATTAGGAACACGGTCTTCAGAGTCCAGCCCGGGGCGCTGCGCAGTCAGGGAGCTGCGGCCGCCCT